ACGTGTGATTAAAAAAATAATTTGCATGATATTTAAGTAGAAAAAAGAGCATTCAATGCCAAGTAAGTCTCCCTCCTACTTCTGACTTCCAGTATACCTTGTAAGATACAGCCATTAGTATCTGTTCCTTTCAGAATAATTGCTGCCTTTATGGGTATAGAATTTACTCATTTGCACCTTTTTTTTTTCACCTAATGGCATATCACGGAGCTGATTTTTTTTATTTGAGAATAGAGATCCTCATTCTTTTAAATGGCTCATTCCCAGTTCACGTAGGTTAGATTTGAACTGACACTTAGAAGGCAGGAATTGAGCTGCTGGGTAATTAGTCTGGGCCACATCCTACTATGGCCTCACCTCACATGGTTCTAGGTGAGTTTTCTCTCTTCTCATCCTATTTTCACCACTCCTCAATGGCCAGCCTCAAAAGTGACAAGATGTTTACAAACCTCCTTTGTCACTTTTCTGTTTTCCTTAGAAGATAATATTTTAGGAAGCATCTTCTGCCGGGCTAAGTGACCGCTAGATTCCAAGGGGGACTGGAAGGAAAGTAGAATACAGAGAGAACGGTAGAATACAGACTGTAGTACAGTAGTCATGGCTTAGACCCACACTGCCCAATGCCCATAGATCAAGAACCATGAGCTCTTGGTCCACTTTAGAGTTAGAGGTGAGGGTTGGGGATATAGCTCAGTGGTAGACCACTTACCTAGCATGTGCAAGGCTCTGGGTTCTATTCCCTACACTGCAAAGAAAATTTGTTTTCATAGTAATTTTGTTTGGCCCAATATATCCATAAGGCTCATCTCCACATGTAGTCCATATTTTAAAGTTATTAAGATGTTTCATGTTCTTTTTCTCATTCTGGTCTTTGACACTCAAGCTGTGCTTTGCTCTTCCAGTGCCTCTCAACCTCAGCTGAGGTGGCCCAGCCACAGGCAAGGTCCCTAGTGGCCATCTATGGCAAGTGGCCGCCATATTGGACCCCACATCTCTGGACCATCCAACCTCAGGTGGTCCGTACTTCAATTTTCCAGGCCTCTGTTTCTCTTTTTTGAATGAGGGAGGCAGACTGGAGAACTCAAAGACTCCTTCCTCTTCATCCTAGTCTTTATCTGATTTTAACTGATAGGAATGGGAAGCCATAACAAACCAGGACAAACCGGTATCCTGAGAGCAGCATAATGTCCTCATCTGTAAACTGGAAATTACTAAATATGACCCCATCCATGTGTGGGGAAAGTGTGGTGACAGATGAGGTTGCGCTTTGGGGAGGTAGAAGAAGGAGAGGCATCGTGTTGTGGGATCACCATTAGGATTATGATTGACAATGGAGAACGTTCAGAATCCACTCACTGAGCCCCAGGGCTATCTATGTGCTCATTTAATATCTCTTAACCACAGCCACCATATCTGTCTGCAAGATAGGGATAAAAACGACACTGAATTCATACCATGACTATAAGAACTAAAAAAGACAACCATGCAGAGGGCTTGGCACCAGGCTTAGCACACAGCCGATCCTTAGCCACTCAGGAATGCTGTCATTCCAACCCTCTGCCTGCAGAAATGAGGCCCTGGTGAGGAGTGGCACGCCCGAGGTCACACAGCAAGCAGGCAGTGTCAGCCGCTAGCCTATCTTGGCTCCTTCCTTCTCACTGGCAGTCATCCCCGATAGTCAGCCACTAATTTCCTCGCAGAAAGGTAAATGAGATAAATATGCCCGAAACTGCTCAAGTACTCGAAAGAGGCTTGAGTCCAAGTATTGTTTCCATGGTATGTACTTTGGCATGCATGCTCATGCGACTTGTTTCAAATCCTGCCTCCAAAGGGTGGAGGCTGGCTTGGCAGGCTGTTTGGCCAGCTTCCATCTCCCTGTGGACCTGCCCACCGCCATGACCAGGGTGCGTTTCCTCAGTGTGATTTCCAGGGATGGGCTCCCTTCTAGACCGTGCAGAAAGTCCCTTTGGTAGGACTGTGACAGAGCAGAAAGTGCACTGAATTAAGACCCAAGAAGCCCAAACTATGCCATGTTACATAACAGTAACAGGAACTGCATTTCTGAACATTGACTCTGTGCCACTGCTAAGTTCTCTGGATTTGCTTATTTCACTGAGTTCTGCCAGTTACTCAGCAAGAAGGTTTTCCACTAACGACCCCATCTTACAGATGAGGAAACTGAGGTTCAGAGCAAATAAAGAACTCACCCAGAAACACACTGATAGAGGCAGGAAGGACCTTAAAAATCTTCCTGGTGGCGGGAGGGTGACATGAGGAGGCTCATGGAAACTGGCTATTCGAAAACTGCGAAAAGTGCATTCCCCTGCCACAGCTTAATTTATGTATCTATCAAAGGAGAATAGTTGAACTGACCCTGGTCAGGACAAGGAAAAAATATGATGGTGGATGAGGATGTTGTTTGGGAAGGAAAATGAGAAAGAGAGAAGGTATTGTGGAATTGTTATTAAGATTTTTTTTTTCCAGTACCGGGGATTGAACTCAGGATCTTGCACTTGCCAGGCAGCTGCAGCGCTGCTGAGCTACATCCCTGGCCCTCTTATTAAATTGTGATTGACAGTGGAAAGGGTTCAGAATGTGTAGATCACACTGTTCTCTCTATGTGTCTGTCTATCTGCCTGTCTGCCTGCCTAACTGTCTGTCTGTCTGTCTGTCTGTCTGTGTACATGTCTCTGTGTGTGTGTGTGTGTGTATCTCAGCAGTCATTTCCCTGGCCTTTCCTAAGGTCTGAGAGGGAAATCACACCCTAGTTTCCCAAGCACCAGCCAAGAGCCCTGCCTGATTCTAGCAAGCATAGCAGGCAGGAGGGAGGGAGGAAAGGGGGGGAAGGAGAGAAAGAGAGAGAGCGCCAGCCAAAATAAAGAAATGTAGAGCATGGCCAGGGGAGGCAGGCATCGTAGAATGTTTGCTTTGCTTCTGTTTTCTTTTTTCGTAAGCAAAATACACCAAAAGTCCAGTCTCTGTCCTTTGCTAAGTTCTGGCCCAAGCCATCATCAGGAAGAAAAGAGGTTAAGGTCTCTACATCCTCAAGAATCTATCTTCAAGTCCATTCTTCCATGAAAAATCGGAGCCCAGAGCCCAACTTGGACACCTGAGAGAACTCTAGACATCCCCACTGACTCTGGTCCCAGCTAAGCAGAGAGCATCCTGGGCTCAGTCCCCAGAGGAAACAGGGCTCAGGGAGAGTTCAGGAAGCAAGGAGAATCCCGATCCTCCCCAGTGACCCAAGGCACAGTGTTCCTGGGGCGTTTCTGTGCACTCCAGAGCCCCAGCAGCAAGATGCTGAAAGACACTCAGCTGGCTGATACATGGGCCACACAGAGCAGAGAAATGACACAGCGTGAGGGCGATGCATGAATACACAGAGAGAAACACACACACAGAGCTACGCCAGATGGAGATTGCAGGCCGGGCTGGGCCCGGGGATTCATTATTCCCTCACCCACACAGAGGGGCTGGTGCAGTTATGTAATGCAAGCTGCAGAGATGCTAACCACCCTCCCTTGAGGGGATCTAGGAGGTGGCGCCTCCTTTAGGGGGCTGGGAGGGGCCTCTGCACCCACCTCCTGCTCCCAGAGACAGTAGGAGCTTGTCAGTTGCCTCAGCCCTGGGGTGACCCCCAGGAAATCACCAAAAGGGAAATGAAGGAGTGTCAGTTTATTAGTCGCGGCAGATGAGGGCTCCCTCCTTGTGCTGAAGTGTGGTGGGGTGCTCACAGGAAAGGCTGTGGGACAGAAATGGAACTGGGACTTGGACAGAGGGTAGGGAAAGAGATGAAGGGGCTCTCTGGTGTCCCCCATCCCCACTCCCAACCAACCACAGCTCACCAGCCCCAGTGCAGATGTGCCAGATGCTACAGAACCACCCATGTGGCCAGCTTCCTGTGCACACACCTCTCCTGGGTCACAGAGGGTCCCCTGCAGGGTCCCGGTTGGCCTCAGGTATCCCAGCCACACCCCATATCCCTGACCTGGGGGAATTAATGACTTGAGAATTGATTGCATTTCAAGAAGCAAAGTTAGGAGTCAAGAAAATAACTAGACTATAGATTTAAAATAATGAGTGTCTAAGTTTCAAGGGTGGAGCTGACTCAATTCCAGATCTTCCTTCTGTGTTCTTCTCTGGGTGACCTTGGACAAGGAACTAAGCCTTCCTAGCTCTGGCCTCCTTATCTGTTGAGATGTTATTGTAAAGATCAAAGGGGAAGAAAATATATAATAATAAGTGCTCAATAACTATCTACATGCTTGCTCTTTTTCTTCTTCAGTCAACAAATAACCACCTACTGTGTGCCTGTGCTAACCCTACGGGTACAAAGTCGACTCTTCCTAGTATTTGTCCATCAGGGTTTCAGATGGGTTTGGGGGTACAAATGTCTTCAAGAGTTTGTCGTGGACTCATCTCTTCAGTGTTGATAATATTTGTGATGTGGCCAATCTATATTTTTGAACTTGAAACAAGCTAGTAATGGCAAAAATGGTCATGAAGGCCAATTGCCATCCCCATTCAGGGTCCGTGGAAGGTGGCATCATTCTTATTCCAGGGAGGATGTTGTGGGGGTCCTGGAATGAGAATGAGGAGCTCAAAGATCCATACCAGCTGGGCTCCTGAGCTATGAACAGAAAACGTTTGTTTTGGGCTGTGTAACAAATTGATATGGTGGCTTCTGCAATGGGGAAGAGATAAGAAAGGTCTTATGATAGTTATCATTTGGTTTCTGGGGCTGACTGTCCAGGGAGACCCTTTGGTCTCTGAGGACTCTGATCATGGAGATGAAACTAGGCAGTCTGTAGCTAGCTGGGAAAGGTGTCCCCTCGAGAAACGAGGATTTTGTTTCCAGGTCGGCTTCAAAACTCCAGGTATCTTGTGGCTCCCCTTGTCAGCTGACTGCATTTTCCATCTTAGTTTTGAAGGTGTTGTTGGCTATATTACTTCAATCTCTCTTTTTCACTTCTTTTCCTCCCTTCCCTTGTCCTTTTCAGCTCCAGAAGCCCCAGATCTCATCTGCATCTAACAGGCTGGTGACCAGGATGCCCAGAGAATTGTCCACATTGTTCATGCGTCACTGCTAGACACATCCACCAGACACTCCTCCTCCCCAGTCTGCCCCACCTGTTGCTTAAGGACACGTCCCACCGCTTCTCCCGACATCTGCCTGATCAACTGTCCCTTCCTAGAGGACAGGAAGGAAGCAGACGCATGAAATCATGCCAACAATGGCCAAATGGCAATGAACAGTGACGCTGAGTTGACGTCAAAGACAGATCACTGAAACGTCTGCAGCCCCTGTCTCCCCTGCTCTTCTCCCAGCACAGCCTGAAGCCCAACGCCACCTGTGAAATCATCTTGTCTTGATTTGTTTTGAGGTCTTCAGACAGGACTTTTGGACAGCAGACACCATGGAAGATCACATGTTCGGTGTTCAGCAGATCCAACCCAATGTCATTTCTGTCCGCCTCTTCAAGCGCAAAGTGGGGGGCCTGGGATTCCTGGTAAAGGAGCGGGTCAGCAAGCCACCCGTGATCATCTCTGATCTGATTCGCGGTGGGGCCGCGGAGCAGAGTGGGCTCATCCAGGCCGGAGACATCATTCTTGCAGTCAATGGCCGCCCCTTGGTGGACTTGAGCTACGACAGTGCCCTGGAAGTGCTCAGGGGCATCGCCTCCGAGACCCATGTGGTCCTCATCCTGAGGGGCCCTGAGGGCTTCACAACGCACCTGGAGACCACCTTCATGGGGGATGGGACCCCCAAGACCATCCGAGTGACACAGCCCCTGGGTGCCCCCACCAAAGCAGTCGATCTATCCCACCAACAACCGGCCAGCAAAGAGCAGCCACTGGCAGTGGATGGGGCCACTGGTCCTGGGAACGGGCCTCAGCATGCCCAAGACAGTGGGCAAGAAGCCACCTTGCTCTCCCACACCAACGGCCTGGCTCTCCAGGCCCCAGGCCAGGACCCTGCCAAGAAAAGTGTCAACGTTGATCTCCAAGGCAGCCAGGAGCACAATGAGCTGCTCCGAGAAATAGAGCCTGTGCTGAGCCTCCTCACCAGTGGGGGCAGTAGAGGGGCACCTGCCAAGGTAGAGATGAAAGACACCGGAGTCCAAGTGGACAGGTAAGCCCCTCAGGGGCACATATGCATGTGTATCCATGCGCACGTGCACACTTGAGACCCAGCCTCCAGGCAGCCTAGAAGCCAGCCCACATCTTACACACATGCACAGTCACACACCCCCGTCGCCTGAAAAGTCCCATCGCAGGAGGCAAACAGACATAAAGTCTAGGATGTACTAGCTCTTACCATGAACACAGAGCTAATTAATCATCACGGAATGGTCCATTGTGTCTCCATCTTTATCCTACATAACCCTCCAGGGCCCCCAGAATGTGGTACTGTTCGTGATCCACATTTCACATGTGATGGGACAGAGACTGAGGTGGAGGTGGGGGTGTCCTGAGGTTACCCAGCAGGTGAGAGGCGCAAGTGCACTCAGGATGTGGCTCACGGCAAGGCTGTGAGAAGAGGGGACAAGCTGAGCTCCCGGCTACACAAGCCTCTACTGGCTTTCTCTCCACACCTCATCGCGGGCAAGGAAAGCTCCCAAGGAAGGGAGATGAGTCAGAGTATAGAATTGATCCTGACTCCTCAAAAGCGCAGTCTTGCCAGGTTTATGTACGGAGCTGAGGCTCAAAGCTAAAGAGCTGGGTGCCAGCCACTCTGTGTTTGCCCCATTAGAGCTCTCTGGTTCTCAGGGGGAATTGGCAGCTGGGCTGGGTAGTCAGAGAATAGTGGGGTCAGGAGATGAGAGAGAGAAGTTCCTCTCTACCCCTTCCACTCTTGGTGTGGATCAGGCAGTGACCCTCCAGCTCCCATGCTGCCAAGCCAGGGCTGTTCATACCCAGAGGGAGGCTTGGGTCTGGGGCCACCCAGAAATTGGGGCCACCATTTTCCAAACTCCTCAAAACCCCTTACTGTCCCCAGAGCATCTGGAGAGAGATCTCCAGGAAGCCCTTGGGGGGCCTGATTTAGAGTAGCTGCCCAGACTCTGCATAGTTCATTCAACAAATACTTATTGAGAACCCACCAAGGGCCACACACTGCTCAGGCTCCAGAGGTGCAATGATCACTGCATGAAATAAAGTCACTAACCTTGTGGAGTTTGCATTGTAGTTGAGAAGACCAACAATAGACAAGATAAATAATATACAGTATGTTAGGAGTATATGCTAAGGAGATGAAGCAGAGAAGGGGATCGGAGGCATTGAGGAGGGTAGAATTTTAAATAAGGGAGTTAGGCTGATCTCACTAGGAAGGCCACATTTGAAGCCCTGGAGGAAAGTAGGGAATGTGGCAGCTTTCTGGAGAAAGAACATTCCAAGCATGAAGAATATCCGGGGCAAGGGTCCTGGGGTAGGAGTGTGCTTGGCTTGTTGAAGGAACCGTATAGGATTCAGTCCTCTTCTATGATGAGGCAACCCCAGAAGTGCCCTTTGGTGGCCCTCAGTTTAAAGCAGCCCGCTTCAGGCCACCATTGCATCCTAGGGTTTTTCTGGCTTCTTGCTTGTGGCAAAAACTGAGCCCATTCTAGCAAGACCACAGAGTCCCCCAAAGTGGGAAGACAAAGGCTCTGTCAGAGGCCCCTAGGCAGAGGAGGAACAAGGGCCTCTCATGCACTCTGAGCCCCTGCCCTCCAGCTCCCTGCCTTACCCTCTCCAAAATCCTTGGGGACAAGCTGAGTGTCCTTGGCAAGTGTCCTTGAGAAGGAAGACAGAGTCAGAAGGGCATGGTGGGACCCTTTTGGTGGGGCAGGTGCTTGGGGGTCTATGTGGCCCTGAATGTCAGTCTTCGGGTTGTCCTAACTAGCAAAAATTGGAGTCCTCATTCACCTATGACTAGCACAGCCCTCCTAGGCCAGAGCCCCATCCCAGGGGAAGCCGCCACTTCTCAGAGTCCCTAGAGCAGTGTCACCAGCAGAAATAGCCTCCTCGGGCCTTGCCTACCTCCTAGCACCCACCAGGCTTCCAGAGTCTCTGCCAGTTCACCTCAGCCCTAAGGCAGAAGCTGGATCCAAAGCTGAAGGCCAGGGCTTTGTCTGCCAGGAGGCACTGGAAAAGTCCCCAAAGGCTGCCTTGGGCATGACCTCTGCCTCCCAGTCCACTTCTACCCTCCCTAGAAATTCACCTCTGCCTAGAAGTTCAGAGCACACTGAACTATGACACCATCATAGCTGGTGTGAGCAGAGCCCCTCCTCACGAGCACCTGACCCCCAACTCTATCCAAAAGCAGCAGAAAGACCTGCTTTGGAGAAGGTGAGGTTTGAGAGGAAGTTGCCCAGCATGCTGGGAAGCCACTCAAGTGAGCAGTTCCAAGAATGAGTGACATTTGATAATAAGTAGCACCTATTCCGCTACCTCAGTGGCTTGTACCTATATCGGGAGCAAAGCCCCTCTCTATGTTAACAAATACTTTTAGATGGCCCCTTTACTAACCAGAAGCTAGTTCAGGGATAATATAACCTACCCACACTTGCTACTTTTCCCATCCATTTAATATCCTAACTCTAAAGTAGAAGAGACAGAGCACACCAAAAGCCTAAGGGGCAGTCCCAGTATTGAACTTCAGCCCTGTGGCCCAGCTCCAGCAACAGGGTCAGCTGTTTGCAACCAAAACATAGAACTGTCACAAGATGAGAGCGCTTCACACACAGAAGTACATAGGTGTGTGGTTTGGGCGACTTAAATTCCACCAGCAGTGTCACAGTTTTCTGAAGTGGTGAACAGCTCCTGATGAAACAGTGAGTCCGTCAGTCTTTCCTTGGTTTACCTGCTTCTGGAGTGGTGTGCATGGAAAATTCAGTGTGTGTTAAAGACAGAGCTCGGATCTCCACCCGTTTATCTGCATGTAGATCGATCGGGAGGCCGTGTGGGCCTTGGGACCGTTTTTGCTTCTGTAGGTTTGTCCTCCATCCTTGATGTCACCTCCCTCCCTCTGCCCCAGGATCACCACCCCAGCACTGTAACCCCAAGTGCCCCACCAACTGGCAAACTGCCTCCTAGGAGCTGGGATAGGGGACTTCATCAAAAATCGGGGTCAGGAATTGGGAGCCCAAGGAACAAATGTCCTTTGAGGGGGCTTTTGGGTCAGGCAGGCATGGGAAATCCTTATCCTCCCAACAACCTCTCCATCCGGACTCTGTTAGGTGTGGGGTCAGCTCCAGCGGCCTGCATGCTGGATGAACAGCCGTCAGCCTGAACCCCAGCTGGCCAGAGTCACGACAGGCTCCCTAAGCCCGGAGCCCTCATCCGGGTACCCCCAGATCCTCATCTCTCCTGCTCTATGGCCCCGCTGTCCTCCTCCCCCTTTTCCTCCTGGAAGCAGCCTCAGCCTCCTGCTCCAGCTCTTCCTGTACTTTGAGGGGGCACTTATTTGGGGGAGAAGCGATGGCTACCCTAGAAACAGTCCCCTCCCTTTGTCCCAGAAGGATGGTGGCCCCAGCGAGGGATGAGGACAGCAGGCAGTAAATGCAGGAGCTTCCAGCACCTTCTGCACTTGGAGCGGTCACTTTAAAACACCACATGTCGGAGAATATCCAGGTTGCTCAGCTTGCTGGCCTGAAGGAGGGTTCTAAAGAGGCCAAGGCCCCCAGTCCAGCCTCCATCTGGACCGAGGTCAGCCTCACCCTGCATTCTAATAATCACTACACACACGCACACACTCACACGCGAGTGCAAGCCCACATACATATGCTTGCAGGGCACTCAGAAAGAAGTCAGCCATGGATGGAAGTTATCAGGGGAGAAAAATTCAAGGGAAAGGGGGCATCATCAAAAAGCCTCTCCTTCCTCTTGGTTGGTTCCCATCTACAGCTTGGGCCACCTGAGCTCTACCCCAGCCCACCCCTTCCCCTCTGAACCAGGGATTGAACCCAGGGCCTTCACACTGAGCTACGACCCCAGCCCTTTTTATTTTTTATCTGGAGGCAGCGACTTGCCAAGTTTCTGAGCCACCCAGGCTAGGCTGGTACTTGTGATCCTCTCGCCCCTAAATGTTTTCATGTCTGAATCCCTAGCACTGAGTTCATAGCTTAACCAAAGTTCAGCCCTAAGGGCGGGAGGAAGGAATGTTCTCCTCTAATGGGGCAGAAAGCTGGCTCTGTTTTCGCATGGCAGGCCCGGGGCGGTTAGGATACGCCCCATCACACTGCCCTTGGAATGACCACCAGCCGTATCAGCTCCAGGACTGCAATCCTGAGGGCCTCATAGCTTGAATCACTCTGCTGGGGCATTTTTTTTTTAATCAGTATATTTATTTTTTAAAAACCTACTTCCCCAAACTAAATTAAAAATTAAGAACCAACAAAAAAAAAAAAGAAAAGAAAAAGAAAAAAGAAAAAAATACAGATGGATCCCAGGGTTTCTTTTTTCTTTAAAAAAAGAAAGAAAAAAAACAAGTTCAACCTCAAAGTCCAGTCAACAATTCCCTAAAGTAGCAGCAACTCCCTCCGAGGTAGATATCTGAGTCCGACCCTCGTACACCGAGTGATTCTATTGGTTTGAGATGAGCTGCCTCCGAGGTAATGAAGCCATCTGGAGAGCCAGGGTGGGTGCACGGGGGCGGCTGTGTCCTCCGTCCAGAAGCCAGGTCACCATTTTTGGGATCTCTGGGTCGGGCAGGGCTGACGGCTCCAGGTTCAGAGCGAGTGTGAGCGGGGTGGGGAGGGGAGAGAACAGCAGAGCTGCGTGCGGGTGTGGGAGAAAGGGGGGGCGAGAGAAAGGCCTGAGAGACAAGTGTGGGGTGGGGAAGAGGAAAAATGGGGAGACAGACCCCACACCCCTCCCTGGCCCGGCCCTGCCGGCCCCGTCGCCAGCACCCAGCAGTGACCGCCCAGCTGGGCCGGGGCCAGGCCGCCGAACTCGCCCTTCCCTGTCTTGAGCTCCTCCTGTGTGGGGCTTGTCCTCTGGATGCCTGCGTCCTCTTCACGAGTTGCCTGTGAGAGCCCCCAGCCCTGTGACCCCGAGGGGAGCGATCAGTTGGAGGTGTTGGAGTGGACACTTCCCGGTCCCTCTGTCGGGGATGTCACTGAGGCCGGGGTCACAGCCTCCTGCCAGCCGCCA